GAAAAATTCGAATTCGACCTTTTTCAACACTTCTAACTTTAATTTGTTACCCATATTACAATTCAAGTGATATATTACCTACCAAATCAAGACACGAACTTAATAATATAAAATAAGCGAATATAGGCTTTCACGGGCAGCGTTTTCAACGCTGCAAGAAATTGGTTATGGTCTTTTGGATGTTACATCCATTTGAATGTAATAAGTACGGAAAATTCTTATAAAAGTAAATAAATTATAATGAGGATCTGAAAGAAAAGAAATTTAAGTATCATAAGAGACAAACAAATTGATAAAAAACAATGAGAGAAATCGAAGAAATTTAACTGAAATTTTGTTCAATAAACCCACTTTTGTTTTATATTTTATATTGCACAACGAATTCAAACGAAAGAACAAATAATTAGTAATGAAATCTTGAAGAATATATCAGGTCAAAAACAGTCCACTTTCCTGCCTTCTTTGGGAAGATTCGTCCTTCTAGATCATCATCTACCTGAAACAATAGAAAAATATTTCTTAAATATATGTACTTGTTGTTTATTATTTTTTTTTATTAAAAGATTTTTAAAATGTAAAATAAATTTTCCCAGAGAAATTACTAATTTCGATAATAGTTAATGTTTTTGACTCTTATTTAAAGGTGTGTTCTATTGAACATCTTTATCCATTTTTTATTTTAATAATAAGTAGGGCCCTGTATTCTGGAAAACTTTCAGAACAATTTCTCGTGTCCCTTAATGTTATAAATTACAACCCTATAAATAGACAGTGCTTCCAGGTACCTAAATATCGTCAAGTGATAATTCGAGAACTTTACAAAGTGGAAATCACATATGAACCTGCCTGCATTACACGGTTTCAGGAATAAAATCGTAACAATGACAATATTCAATTGACCCCTTTACGAATAGATGCAAGGGATGAAAAAGTAGGAAAAGAGCGAATATAAAGATAGGAGACGAAATATTAGAAGAAGTGATGATTTTAGGTATCAAGGAAGTCAGATAAATCAGGACGGAAGGAGTAGTAGGGATATAAAACAGAGGATAGCGCAAGGTCCAGTCGCCTTCAATAAAAAGAGGTCACTTCTGTAACAGTAAGAAAGAGGGCAGACATCGAATATGCAACTTAATTGCACTGGTTGCCGAGGTGATACAATGTACCAAAGAAAACTAAAGGAAATAGTCTGACTAATATTAAAATTTAAATTTAAGAAAATAATATTATTTATAGAGATGCCACTTTGGAAATTATTATTAATTAATCGAGGACATTAACAAAGTTTTCCTTTAGATTATCATTGAGAGTAGTTACGGGCAAATGTCACACAATGATTTTTCCAGGAATGCTGAGTGTGCGATGACACTAAGGGCAGAGTCTGACGAAGTGTCCACTCCAATCATTCCATCAAATATCTCGAACATGCAATGGGTATTCAGGGCAGAGTCACAAAATGCACCGTCGCAAATATTTAGGTATATCGTACAGTACTGAAGGGCAGAGTCTCACGACAGTGCTCAAGACAATCGTAAAGAAATACAAATACGTTTACATCAAAATTATGGTCATAGCTTTATATTATTTGAATGAATTAAATCATTCTATCTCGATAAAGTTTAGTAAATAATAAAAACTTAGTATCTAAATTTTAACATAAACATCACTCTGTGAGAAAACTCACCGAATTAGGTTTATCTATATTTTTGAAACTGCATAAATCACAAAAGCAACTATCCACGTTAACAGTTGACTAAATAATGTTGCGCAATTTTATTTCTTTCTTTTCCTTGAGAGAACAGAAGATTCATATATTTAATAATATTTGTATCGATACTACGAAAGGATAAAAAAGAATAGCTTCTTACACTTTTATGCTCGCGAACAGTTAATTAACAAATTCGAAGAAGATTGTTAAAGGTGAATGTTTGGAGCATGGCGCTGTACGGGTGCGAAACATGGACGGTGTACGCGACGGAAAAGAAAAGATTAGAAGCATTTGAAATGTGGTGTTACAGGCGAATGATGAGGACACCTTGGAAAGAGAAAGTTAGAAATGAAGAGATATTAAAAAAATGGGAGAACGGAGGACTCTATAGAAGTCAATAAGAAATAGGCGAGATACGTTGGTAGGACATCTTCTCAGACATGAAGATCTAATAAGAGACATTTTAGAGGCAGAAACGGGATTTAGGAGGGGTTGAGGTAGACCTAGACTATATTACTGTTCCCAAATAGTTAAGGATGTTGGTTGCTCTAATTTTAGGGAAATGCGAAGATTAGCTCAAGATAAGAAAGAGTGGAGGTGCGTGTCCAACCAGTCTTAGGACTGACCACCTTATAATGAATATGTAGTTTGATTATTTTGTTAAAAGAACGAGTCAAAGTTAGAAAAAAAGTATACTACAGTCTATATACCTTCCATGCTGAGATTTTTCCGGAGAACATGGTATCAATAACCATTTTCCGTTTCACTCACTTTTTACTTTTTACAGTAAAATGTTACCATAATAAGATACTAAATATATACGATATAAAACAAGCAACAAAAAGGCGTAAAGATGAATGTAACACTAACAACGTATAGGACAGATACGTACGACCTCCCAATGTATATTGCCAACTCCAACTGTTAAAGTTATCATTCCAATATGCAACATACATGTATTATAGTCAGAGATGTGAAAAACGGTTGTTAGTTACGATGTACTTG